CGTAGAACTGAAGAATCGTTTTTTAACCATTTCGAGCCATTTGGACGCTATTTCAAATCTGCCGAACCTTTTTTTGGGGGTTTCGTAGAGTACTTATTTTTTTTAGAGTGTTCTCTGCCCAAAGTTTCAAGTCGAAATTCGAAAGTTGATTTTTCAGATGAACCTGAGGGGGACCAGGGCATTATGCTAAAAATCCACATCGACTCTTATGTTTGAGACACTATATCTCAACAAGGATTTAAACGCGCATCTTTGCGCATCCACTGAAGATAGATGATGATATGCTCTACCAAATAACAAACTAAAACTTGAATTAAAGTTCCGGGAAAATCCGGGAAACGAGTTGCATTACTGGCTAATAGCTATTTTTCACTCTACTGGACCTGAGTTTCTGCTCTTAATATAGCCTAAAGAACTTTAAGAAGTCCGAATGGCCTGTAATATATAGTAAATATATAACACTGTATAACAACTAATGAATATAACTATATTGTCAATTTAAAACATATATCTTCCGTATATGGTCCCGTTAATGATATTTACCCGTTTTAGGTACTTTGCGGTATCTGTTTTTTAATAGATACTCGCTTTAAAACAGAATCCAGTACGCAGTTAAATGCAACACTATAGTAGCTTCAATGCTAGCTAAGATATGGATTTGAATCTCAAAAATCGATTTTGTCGCTTGTCTGTCCACTGTCGGGGGGGGGGGGAGGGGGGGAAGCGGGCGATCACTTTTTGGGAAGGTCAGTGAACAAAAACCGAAGAAAACGCTAGAGTTCCGCTGGGAAAAAAAAGAAAATTTTTAAACATTGAGAGGGGTCACCACCGACCCTCCCTGTCGCGACATCTCTGTTTGCGCTTCCTGTGCGTCATGGACTTTTCTTTATTAAAGCCCATAAAGCGAATCAAAAGTCATCATTTTTCCGAGAAATTAATAATTAAAATTGATTAGACGAATTAATAACTGAAAGAGCGAATAGTATAGTATAACTCTTAATATTTTTATTTAGAAATTAGATCAACTATCGGCATCTTTTAGTTTGTAGTTTCTTAACATGACTTTCTATTCCTGTTTGTAAGTAGTATTAACTTGACGTAACTATGACAGCCGTAAAAACAATACTTCTTACTATTCAGAGTTATTCGAAAGATAAAATATTTCTTTTTAGAACCGCATTATAAACAAGATTTGAGTTTTAATGCGAAGTTGTCAGCACATGGTTTTTCATATCTAGCACACTATCCGATGCAGGACTCTGGAAAACTCATCAATGCTTTCTTCGGCCATATTAGAATAAAGAGTTCCTGAAATAATGCTGAAATATGGCAAATAGAAGAAAATCATCAAGAGCAGCATAGCTACGCTGTGCAATAGATAATCTCTTACGTTCTCGATAATTGATAGGCTTCTTCGACTAATTGCAAGAGAAAGTTATTAATGAAAGCAAATACTTCAGGATTTGACACATTGACATTCAATACACAATCGATGCTGGAAAGAGGTGTTGGCTCCTCTACAATTATCAGAAAGAATAATAATCAAGGGTATAATAAATATGAAATGAAATTTGACACTAAAGATAAGCAGTGACAGCTTTGAAAAATGGTAAATTTATAGGAGAACATGTTTTATCTCAATAAACACCTCTGAACAGAAAGTCTTCTGAAGATATAGTTGACTCTTCTATTTTGTGCTGCCAAAATGTCAAGAAAAACCAGTCATAAGATTTGAAATATTTCTGTCTTTCTTCGTCTCTCCGTTGGTTGTAGATGTTAGAATAAATAGTAGTCACAGCACAGTATTGGACAAATCGACAGATATCCAAAGCATATTGGTGAATACTGATGCTCCAACGAAGGGAATTAAGTGGCATTGAGCTATTCGAAAGTGAGGCTCAGGCTATTAGGAAATCCAACACAAGAATGATCACACAACTGACGACAGTTATGCGTATTATTTTCTTGTCATATGATGAAAAGAAACAAATCTGATATAATGATACAGACTTTGTCGGATAGTTTATAGAATATCAACTGATGAAAAAACTCTCAAGCTTTTCAAACCAAGGTCGAGGCTGTTCAATTAAAGTTAATGAACAGTCAAAGGTCTCTATTTTGAATTGATCGGACGTTAAATGAATTTTTTTCACTTCGGCATCGAAAAATCAAAATCATTAAAATCGAAAATAAAATAAAGAAATCAAACGAAGTTTCAAAATTCTAAAAATGTTTTTTTTTAAACATGATAGTAACCAGTATTAAAGCATAAAACGAGAAATAAAACTTTTCCTCTCTTCTTTATAGATCGTGACATAAGCGGCAAGAGAACAAATGGCAGGCTATAACAGAAGTAGGAAGACATACTCTATCTACTCAAGAAACGCAATAGATCTGCAAAATGCAATTAAGTTTATTACCATTTTTTTATTTATTTCCTACTATTAGAATATATCTATAGTTTTTTCACATTTCAATCTTTAACCATTACACTGAAGGATTTTTTTTCTCCTGATTAAAACCACATTGTTGCATGAGTTCTATATTGAATCACCATCATAGGTTACTCCAGAAGGGAAAATAATGGATTTCCTAAATTCGGAATCTCTTTGAGTACGATGGGAATCCTTGAACTGCATAATGTGCCATGTCCACTCCAGAGTTATATGGGTGTGACCATTTTTTGAATAATTTTTGATAGACTAACTCAATAGAGCTCGTAGTTTTGTAATCAGGAAGAGAAAGTTCCAAGATATCTATCTATGTAAGATTCATTTGTTTCAAAGATGTGTGCCATGACTGTTTTTATACTGATACATGTTTATTTGTCTATTCCATCTTCATAACGTCTTCTTTATCCCTTTTCTCAACACGAAATAGTGTAAAATGTGAGAATTTTTACCACATATGTAGAGTAATTTGGACTACAATTTGGTATAATTTGTCATTGGTTTATTATAAAAATCAATAGAAGTAGACAGCTAAAAATGTATCATTATAAAAAACACTCATGGCATATGTATTAAAAACAAATGAATATTACATAGCCAGATAACTTGAAATTTGCCCTTTCCAATGACAAACCTACAAGCTCCATAACGTTACCTACACTCTAAAAGAAATCGGTTTATTACCGAACTTAAAAAAGGTTTAGCCAGCTGCTAAACCAAAAAAAGATCTTTCCCCGGGTACACGGGAAGAATCTTTACTTCTGAACCTTTTTTAGATTCCGTAGGCAAGAAAAAGGTGTTGTATAAAAATTAAAAAGCCTTCAGGGTTTAGTTGAAATTTCTGAAGGTTTTGTATTAAATCCTCAAGGTATTCTGTTGAACCTCCAACATTTTGTAATTTGTCTACAAAACCTTTTTCTTCCCTACGGAATCTAAAAAAGGTTCAGAAGTAAAGGTTCTTCCCGTGTATCCCGGAGAAGATCCTTTTATGGTTTAGCAGCTTGCTAAACCTTTTTTAAGTTCGGTAATAAACCAATATTTTTTAGTGTAGGAAGTCGAACAATGAAACTACTAGTTATTCAGTTAAAATAATTGTTTTTGTCCGTTTTTACAGTCTTAATTCCATTAGTTCAATTAAATTTTAAAGATCAGATTTACATTATTATTTTGAGTAGATTTCAATCATCTTCATTCAATGAATATCATTAGTTTCGACAAATTAACCCTTTGAGTCCCAAATTATTTCTGCTCGGTTGAATTGAAGCAGACTGTTATATTAACTTATTTCACACACAAAAACACATAACACAAATATCTCGTGTGCACTCACATGTGTTTTACTCACAATGGAGGGGCGTGTACTGTAAGTTAAATTGATTGACCATGTTCGGATCAAATGAGCACTCTCACCGAGAAACTAAAGAATTTAAAATATGAGCGGCCGTTGGCGTGTATTGAGAGAGATATTCGAATTTTTATGTATTTACCACATATGTTAGCTACCCGCAATCTAAAATTTCATCACAATTAATGTATCCTTTTTCGTGATGGCTGGATAGAGCTCGTCAAGTTGCATTAGAAAAAGTATGTTTCAAATTTAAAACAAAAGGTAATAATAAATTTAACGAAAACTAGAATTTTGGGTCGTTTTTCCATTAGATTTGAAAATAATCGCATCTTGAGTGTTTTCATAGGGTTTTTTTCATAGGACTTTTTTCGAATTTGAAACACACTTTTTCTAATGCAACTCGACGAGCTCTATCCAACCATCACGAAAGAAGATACATTAATTTTGATGAAATTTTAGATTGTGGCTAGCTAACATATGTGACAAGTACTTAAAAATTCGAATATCTCTCTCAATACACGCCAAGAGCCGCTCATATTTTAAATTCTTTAGTTTCTCGGTGAGAATGCTCATTTGACCCGAACATGGTCAATCAATTTAACTTACAGTACACGTTTCTCCATTGTCAGCGTAAGTTATTATTCAATTTTGCTGCACTTGAATGAAAAGTTTTATTTATAAATTATGTTGTGAAAATAATTATAAAACAGGTGTAGTTTTTTTTATACTATGGGGCTCAAGGAGTTAAACTAATTGTAGAATTTTGATTAGTTTTCAATGGTTTTCGCCATTTTAATGAAATAAAATTGATTAACTGTGTGTGATATTTCCCGATTGAAATTCCATTAATTATTTTTTAAAATAATGGATACAAGTGTCCGTTTCCTAAGCAAAAATCTCATTTGTTTATTGTGTACTAATTATTTTATCTCATTTTCTGACTTTCTGGGCAGTCCATTAAAATTTATTCAGAAAAATGGCTACGGCCACTTAAATGAAATGGGTATGGATTGTCTTATTCCATAGACTGAAAGGATAGGATCTAGAAACCGAAATTCACCTGTGTCTGTCTGTCTGTCTGTAACACTTGGTACAAATGGTCATTTTCGTGGTACAAAGTACCATAGTCGGGGTACAAGTGACCATTTACATGGTACAAGGTGCCGCAGTCATGGTACAAGTCACCATTTTCATGGTACAAAGTTCCATAGTCGTGGTATAAATGACCATTTTTCATGCACAAGATACGATTTTCATGGTACAAATGACCATATTGATGGTACAAATGACCACAGCTTTGGTACAGATGACCGCATTGATGCATCAAATGACCATATTGATGGTACAAATGACCACAGCTTTGGTACAGATGACCGCATTGATGCATCAAATGACCATATTGATGGTACGAATGGCTCTCCCAATGACGCAAATAACCATTGTCGCAGTATGAATGATGACGTCCATACTATGATTAGCCATAGACGTGGTTATTCGGACCATTATTTGGGTGATTAGAACTACTTTCTTGGTGATTTACACCATGGTATCGTGCACTTGCGCCGTGTCTATGGGCAGCGATCATAGAAAGGGCACGAGTGACTTAATGCTAAAGATGGTGGATAATTCGGTCGAAATTAGGATAAATATGAAAGAAATGACCGTAACTACGTCCTGCGTCACGAAAGATATAATCAAAAATCCCTTAAAGACACTCTGAATATTCGCAAATGCGACACACTGGACCGTTGATTTATCAAGGATATGACTCAAAAGCGCAAAAATGTGCTCAAAATGGTCACAATAATGGTCCTCGTAACCAAAGATTTTACCTGACTGACCACACACAGCGTTCAAAACACTATAGATATGATGATGTTGTCTGTATTTGTCATCACATGTACCATTCTTGTGACCACTGTCCCTGTGTTTTTGAGATATTTTTGCACTTTATTGCTCGCTTTGAAACAGCTCTATCATCCTTCTGACCCTATTTGTGATCGTCTGAACCATAGTTGACATGTGGTTACTAGATTACAGAGACAGGTGGACACAGATGCACATCTGTTTTTAGACCACTAAGTCAGTCTAGGGTTAAGCTAATCGACTGTCGATTAGCGTTACTTGTTTAATAAATTAGACATTATTAGGAAGAATGTAAAATACATTAGTTCCACCGAGTTCCGCCCAACGTTATTCTTCTTGTTTCTCGTTAGTCTTTCATTGATAAGACCAGAAGAAATGGAAGAGCCCTTTTTTGCCAGTTTCTTCGATACTTATTTCATGACATAATTTGTCGAGGCTCCTAATGACGACAGTTAATTTTTTGCTATAAAAGAGCAAGTATTACTGTATCTTCACGATACGCTAGAAACTTAGAGATATCATCCCAAACCAATGATATACGATGGGAACTGGCGACAGCACACCAGAAAATGGTAAGAACTTGAAAGCATGAATTCATTGCCTGGACTCGGCGACCGTATTTTCTCGGTTACTGCCGAAGTCGTCCATAACCGGACAGTTTTGACCATTGGATAAAATCGTCGACTTTCGGCTTTCAAGTTCCTACTATTTTTCGGAGCTTTTCGACCGGAAATAAAAGGAACCAGGATGTGTATCTTCGAAATAAAACTAGAAATCTAAGAAATAAAATGAATAGGAATTCGGATCACGATGGAAATACCGAAATATGATCGGAACTCCGAGAATACAAAATCTGCCGTTTCTCCATTGGTTTGCCCTGACAAAGTTTCTTAATTCGAATCCAATGGATTTGAATAGATAGTTCCGATCTGATCGAGAAATCCTCATTTCATTTTGAGAATATTATTCGCCATGTGTCCGTGTTGAGGAAGAAGCAAAATACTTATTACTAAATTAAGAAATCAGAATAGCTTTCGTACCTTCAGTATTACTGACTGTTGTTGTCGCTCTAAAATCTGAATGTTCTGATTGTTTGAAATTGCCGTGACCTTGTGGTTTTACTTCAGTAGCCAATTTGCCCTTAATCAGCGAAATGGAATCATTCACATCTTCAAATACACAGTCTCGGAGACATTGACGACTCTCTTCGGTGTCGATGCGTATATTGAGATGCTGTGCAACTTGCGTCAAAGCATTGTCGTCGTTATCGTCGAATTCCGGCGCATTACGAATTTGTTGATAGAGATGACGGATATTATGAAAGTTGGTTTTATTGATAGCTGATCCAGATTGTAAATAGTCAACGATTGAAATGAGTTGATTGTCAACCATCGCAAGTGGATAAATTGTGTTGCTTCTTCTCGAATTTATAGTCATCATCAATCCACTAGTGATGCCTTTGTCATCAACTTGGAAATTTCGACAATCGAAAACAAATGCATTGCGCATGAGTCAGACAAACATTGAGTGGCATGCATTGTTTGTTGTTCCTTCACTCGCATCTGGAAAGTTCTCAAGTGTTTGACTCATTCTTTAAAAACAGCATAGTCAAGAAAAGAAAGTTGTGAATTTTTCATACGCGATTTTTTTCCTGCTGATCAACAAAGATTCTTCCAACTTTGTGAATGTGTCACTTCCCTTCAATTGCATATAAAAACCTGTCAACCATACAAACTTCTATGAAATGCATTTGGTAGAATCATGGCTTATGCGACAAACGGAACAGGGAATGCAACTCATACTCAACAGACTACGAGCAATGCTGATCGATATAGTCAAATCAAAGAAAATTTAAAACCACTTGAACATAAGAAACAGGAGCTTGAAAATCAATTAAATATCGCGAAAAGAGAAGGAGAAGATCTCGAAAAGAAAATTCAAGTTTGCAAGCGTGCCGCTGATGAACACATAGCCGAATTGCGTCGACTGAGCGACGAACTCAATCGACTTCGAGCTGATATGGAACGGGTCGGACAAGAACTTGAAAACCTACAAGATGAACAGAAACGGCTCGAACATGATCGTCAGCAACGTCAACAGGAATGCAACCAACTACGAGAACAACTACGAGCCAAAGAACTTGAACTTTCACGACTTCAACGACAATTAGAAGAACAGGAGGAGAACAAAATTCAGTTAGAAGAACAACGTCGTAATCTTGAACAAGAGCGTCAACAGATGGAGCAAAGAAACCAACATATCACTCAACAGATTCAACAGCTGGAACAACAATCGAAAGACTTGAATGCACGTTTGACTCAATTGCAACAAGAAATTCGTCAAACTGAATATGATATTGAGCGACTACAAGATGATCAACGTCGAGCTGAACAACAACTGGCTGCAATCGAACAGAAATGTACTGTCATCGAAAATAGAAAACAGGAGAATGAATTAGCTCGTGATCGTCTTCAAGAAGATAGTAATAAAATTGAAGATCAGATCCATCGCATCGAACAAATGATTGATATGCGACAAAATCGACAGCAGGAACTTGATCAACGCATACGGCAGTTACAAACAGAGCAGAATCAAGCTCAACAAGAACTCGACGAATCAACACAACAGCTTAGGACTGCTGAGGAGAGGCTGGCATCATTCCAATTCATTGTTGAAAGAGTTCGACAGGAAGCCAATGCATTGCAAAGAATCATTGTCGATGGGGAACGTCAAATACAACATCTACAGAGGCAAGAACAACAACTCGAGTAAGCGAACATATATTGAATTCGATCTTCTACTGATTTGAAAATGAACTAAAACAAATGATTGCTACTATGAGAACTTCTCGGAAGGGTCTCGATTATTTTTATCAAACGATGTTTCCAATATCTAATACACGAACTTCATCGTATCCATGAGGAAAACATGAGTGAGTTGAGTCCGTTGAGTTTCTAAGCTGAGCTGATGAGACAAGGTTCTTCGAAACTCGTAATTCCATAATCTAAGCATTGCCTCTGATGCTTTTGATTTCTCACCACATTAGAACTGGTGAACTCGAGTTTTTTCGAGATAAATGTTGTTTCACTATAATTGATAAATTGAAATACATTCGAGCTCTTTTTTCTTTTATCGCAGGCAACTACCTATGTTGTGATAAAGAATACGCTTGTCAGACAGAGACGAATAAAACCATTATTCGAATATGACTTTTACAACAGTAAGACATTTATATATTTGCTTTCCTTGACCAACAGAGAAAAGCTTCCTCTCAAAAGAAAAACTACACGGGTTGTTTTGTAAGCACAGTAGGTTCCATGTCACGAAAGAATCAGCTCGGGCTAGTTATAGATAAAACTGAGAATACAAAGAACGTTTGAATGATGATTTACTCTATTTTATAAGCAACTGTTTTCACGTGCGTATGAAAGTTATTCCGCAAATTCATTTACAAACAATCTAATGCGTTCTATTCCGAAATGGTTATTTGCGCAAGCTGAAGTTGACTAGAACTGCGCAGCTACATACAGTATAAAAAAATAGATGGCAATTATATACTTGGTTCGACAACTTTTGTCCACAGAGACGTACACTGGCTAGTTATCAACCGCTGCAACAATGGAATTGCAATCTTTTTTTATAATCATTTTTTAATAGTATTTGAGTAATAACTACGATTGCTGTAACTGATTTCGAAAATTCATTTTTTTTTCTTTTTTGCTCCTGTCTGAGTGTCACACGAACATAGACAATATCTAGTTTCTAGCTGACAACGTACTCATGCAGCTACTGAGAAATAATGGATCCGACTACATGATAATGCAACCTATTTCACGAGTTTTAATGCATTGTGTTAGCAAGTAATGCACTACAATCTATAGTCTGCGAGATAATTTATTAAAAATCATGAAATAAGTTGCATAATGATGTAATTGCATCATTATTCAGCAATAAGGGGGAAAACGCCGAAAGAGGAAAAAATCGATTTGTTTTTCGACGTCATACAAGAAAAAATTGCTTTTTCAAAAGAATGAAAGAGATAGAACGAAAAAGTAACCAACAATTTTTTTACACCATTAAAAATGTCTATCGAATCGAGTAATTTACTCTATACTTTCTTCTGCTTAATGTACACTTTTTTCGAAACGCTTTCTTTTTTTTTGGTAGACCGACATTGATCTACCTTTTTCTCGGAGAGCTTCCATATTAAACAAAAGGTAGAGGATAGGTCGAACAACAAGATGGCGAAAAAAATCCTGGCCCGCAAGTCTATCCTGTAGGTCAAAAACGCGTTAAGCTCTGAAAGCAACATGTTTTCACGCACTTTTTAGATGGGACATCTGTAAATCATTTCGACCGTGACTCGACAACTACCTGTTCAATTTCTTCGAGATTTTCACAGTACATGAAGCATGAAAAGCTGTAGTTGAGAAAATATTTTCAATCTTATATAGCGTTTTCTTCTTTACTATTTGTACACTACGGGAAAATATCGATGGACATTTTTTCTTGATTTGTTCGACCTGGTTCTACTTACATATATTCATACCATACATCTTTCGATTTCTTGTGGACATGTTCGATGAAGAGCTGAACTGAAGTTATTTTGAGTTTATAACACTAGTAAAGCGTCTTTTCTCAGTTTCACTGAGACTAAAACGGATCTTTTCAAAATTTTCTCCTCGTGTTTTGGGTCCGATTTGACTATCTGTAATATCACTCGGTTAAGCACGTCGAAATCTCGTACATGATGTGTTATATCTATGCTTTTTAAGCTTATCTTTCGGCATCTTATTTCGACAATTTCGCTGACGAAAAAAGTCGGAGTTGAAAATGCGATTTTTTCGGTCTTATGACATCTGATAGGTGGAACTTTATACTGAACACTCAGTAAAAGATAGAGAACAAACTTTACTACTCGACTTTTCTCAGCTCAGTTTCTATTTTGTTTCGCCAATTGTACTCAAAAGCTCCGCTTCGTTAGTAAAATCTTCACGACACACTATTGTGACATCGAAAAACGTGACTAATAGGCCAAAATAAACGGTGATCTCGTTATTCTCCTGGTAGTTCGATCATCTTTTCTGACACACAAACTTGATCTTTTTTGAAAAGACTCACCGTGCAATTCTGCATCAAATGGTGTATTTCACTCAACAAATATATTATCTTGTATCTTCAGACAGTTGAATCATTGACTAACAGTATCATGTAAAACTTTCAAGACTTACGGTTCTTTTTAGTGTTTTTAAAAAAACAGCAAATTCTGCAATTAATTTTTCGGTTTTGGTTTTGACGCCTGATTCACATAAAACAATCATACTAACTTAAATACTGTTATTGTAACATATTGACCCATCTCTTAGTAAATTCATTGGAGTTATGAGCTGTTCACTAATCGAAGGCACACCAGCTCAACTTCGTTGCCAGTCTCTTTACTAAAAAAAATTAACTTGGCATTTCACCCTATGGAAGAGCTCGGCAATGCTGAGTCCTGTCAAAATCCTGGTTACATTCCTAGTTAAGCAAACGTCAAAACTAAAGTCGCAAAACTAATTGCAGCATGAACTCTTTTTTGAAAACACTAAAAAGAATTAAGTGAAATATACCCTTTGATGCAGAATAGCATGGTGAATTTTTTGAAAAAAGACCAAGTTTGTATGTCCAAAAAGATGATCGAGACATTAGGAAGAAACTGAAATCACTTTTTATTCTAAGTCACTTGAAACTATTATCTGATAGTATCCAAAATACTCCTCATGCAGAGATGAATTATCCTAAGTTATATTGATCAGAAGTCTACTGAACAAAACACAGTCACATCGAGGATATTTGAAGTTTAGATTAGAATGAAACCCAGTCAGTTCAAATTTTTCTGTCGAATTTCTAATCGCACTCTGATATATGATGGAGTACGTTGATCCTACAGGTGCCTAAGAATGATTTCCCATGCGAAAATGTTTAACCGAAACCAATATCGAAATCTATTTAAGTATGATCAAAATCACTTTTTATTCTTAAAAATAAGAAAGCCAAAATGAAATCAGTTTTCTTGATGTTAATCATATTATGCCGTAGTCTTTATATCGATTTGAATCTGATTCAATAATAACATTTTCACATGGGAGTTAGCATGTCTTCGATCCTGTGCCAAAAAAATTTAGAGGAACCGCCTATGTAAGGGTAACACTCATCTTTGCCATAGTTCGTTTCAGCTCGCATGTCAAAGCGTAGACTAATAGGATCCATGTTTTTTTTTAGAATAATGAGTTTCAATAAATCTCACACGAACTCAGGAAAGATTGATCGCATTCAAAAATGACACTGCCCAGTTTTTCGTTGCCTTAATTTCTGCTTGAACTTTTTTTCATATGTTTCATAGAATGTTCAGAACTGACCGCTTCAGTATGTGTTCTACGGGGTATAAAATAGATTCTTTTGGTTTTTAGAACAGAAATTCAAGCGAAAAATAACGAAAAAGCACATTTGACTCGAGAACAAGAAGAAGTTACTCGAGAACTCGCACATAAGAGAGAAGAATTAAATCGGATCCAACAGCAACATGATAGACTTGGACAACAAGTCAATGTTCTACAACAAGAACTGGAACGGGGCGAAGCAAGCTTTCAACGTCTCACAAATGAATGCGCTGTGTTGACATCAAGACTGGCTCAAGAACAACAAACACTGGCACAATTTCAATCCAAACTTGATAATGAAACTAAACGGCAATGTGAAGCGGAAAAAGTAGTTCGAAATGAGGAGGAAGAAGTACGCAAGGCTGAACAAAAACTTCGCAATAGCGAAACACAAGAAACACAAGCTCGAAATGCCGAAGATCAAGCGCGTCACGACGAAGAAAAAGCGAAGTTGGAACTTGAGACTGTCAAAAAATTACTCGCCGAAGAGGAAGCTAAGCTAAAAGACTCTTGTCGGTGTGACGAGCTCGCGACTAAAGCAAATGTTAACCGTCTAAAAATAGAGGTCGAAAAATCGACGCAGATTGTTAGTGATAAACGAAATGCTCATGATGTGCGAAAAAAGAATCATCATACTGCTCAAGACAATACAAGTCACAGTCGAGCATCGCTTCAACAGGCTCAAACATCTCTACAATCCGCACAAACACAACGTGAAAATCAAATGCAACGGGTTGCAGAGAGTACAAACAGAGTTAATGGTCAGCGAGGAATTGTCAATACTATCGAACACCAGTTGAATGATTTAAAATGTCAGCATTCCCAAGCTGAAGAGCAACTCGGATGCAAACGCCACGAACTAGATAACATAAAGACAAAATTTGAAATAGAAGCGGAAAAGATCAATGGGCTTACGAATGATACTGTACAATTGAGAAACTCTGTTGAAAGTCTCACAAATCGAGTTCAACAGACTAATAATGATTTGCATCAATTACAACAACACCTATGCAACGCACAACAACAAAGCATGATGAAAAAGAACGAACAAACCCAACAACAATTGCAACATACAAATAAACGTACTGAACTACAAAATTATGAACAAGAAATTCGTCAACACCAGGCAGTTATTCGTGAAAATCTTGTTCTAACTCAGCGAGCACAAAATCAGCTGGAGAATATCAATGCGAATATCGCTATGGTTGCTAAGAATATCTATGAACTGGAAAATGAAAAGGTTGAACAACAACGACTGCTACGAAATGCACAGCAGCATCAGCGAACATTAGAAGAGGAGCGTAATCGAATTGAGGCTACATTGGCCGCACAAGAACGTGAGAGACAACAACTTGACAATGAAACACGTCGTCTATCACGTGATATTAATCAACGACAACATACTCTCAATGAAAAACAACAGGCAATGACTACATTACAATCACAAGTGAACTTGACTCAAGCAGACTTAATCGCACGGCAACAAGAACATGCCAGTCGCGAACAACAACTGAGCAACATTCAAGCTGCACTGGCGACCAATCGTCGACAAATCGCCGATATCGAGGCTCGAAGACGTGTAATCGAACGTAACATTCAGCAGACAACTGTAGTACGACAAACCAGCGAACAACTTGGGCACCAGAAAGTGAACGAGTTAGAAATCATCGAACGAGACTTACAGCGAGTGACACAAGCAGTCAATGAAAAACAAAGAGCGTATGAAACGATGAAAAAAATATCAAATACTCTTGCTAATCAAGTTGTTCAACATCGAACAGCTCAGATGGACAACGATAAACAGTTACAACAGATGCAAAACCAACTGAAAAACCAACGTTCCTCTATAGCAGATTTAGTCATTCAAATCAGTCACGTTGGTACACAGGCTCGGCGAATTTTTGGTCCACTTTGCGATCGGATGACGCCACAGGAGAATTTAACTCTGATGCAAAATCTCATTCGTATACCGAGAAACGAATTTATAAACTTCTATGCCCATCAAATTGAAGATCATGTAGTGACCCATCTTCCGAATCAGCAACATTTCTTAAGTAGAGGTAAAATCATTCGAAATACTTTCGTACACGAAATATCTCTTTTACTCTATTCTATGTAGTGATACGATAACCGATCATGGCAATATGAGCAACATAAGACTCCCATCACCACTCGGACAATTGCTTTTTCTTCATTTTTATTCCTTCGACTGTAGAGAGGGTCATATGAAATAAAATGCGTTTATATGTATGTATGTATGTATATGTCAAGGTCAAAAAAACATCAGCAATGAGCTTTTTTATTTTGAGCGTTTTGGACCTTTTGATTGAACTTTACTATAGGTTATCGATGGCCAGGATTCCAAATCTTAGGTCAGATTTCACATCCGGCCTTTTGATTGGCTACGAAGCCGACCAATCAGAAATGAGCTTTTTTGTTTTAAGGTTTTGGTCATTTCGATGAAACTTTACTATAGGTTATCGACGGCCAGGATTCCGAATCTGAGGGCAGATTTCACATCCGACCTTTTGATTGGCTACGAAGCCGACCAATCAGAAATGAGCTTTTTTTATTTTCAGATTTTTGGGCCTTTTGATGGAACTTTACTATAGGTTATCGGTGGCCAGGATTCCGAATCTGAGGGCAGATTTCACAGCAGGCCTTTGTATTGGCTAGGAAGCCGATCAATCAGAAACGATCTTGTTTATTTTAACGCTTTCCAATCTTTTGATAAAACTTTGCAATGGGTTATCGATATCCAGGAATGTGAATCGGAAGTCGGTTTTTCTATTTGAGCTTTCATTGGTCAGAAAATGAACCAATCAGAAACGAGCTTGTTTTCGTCGGCTGAAGCGAGGATCATATTCCCTTGAGTGTAGGGAGGGTCATATGAAAAAAAATAGTTTGTGTGTGTGTGTGTGTTTGCATTGGGGTCAAAAAAACTTCCACTTTAGAAAATCTTCCATAAAGGTTGACGAAAGTAAATCGGGGTCGGGGAATCCGAATGTAAAGTCAGTTTCTTAAAATTTTGAAACGGGGGTTTAGGGTCAAGAAAAGGGTTTTTTGAGAAAATAATGATATTTTATAAAGGTTGAAGAAAGTAAATCGGGATCGGGGAATCCGAATCTGAAGTCAGTTTCTCAAAAAATTTGAATTGGGTTTTTAGGGTCAAGAAAAGGGTTTTTTGAGAAAATAATAATGTTTCCTAGAGTCTCAGAAAAGTTATATGAAATACAATAAATCTTTGCCTGTTTGAGTGTGAGTGAGAGATGAAATGTCATTGAAGAAACCTTGGCTAACGAGGGAACATTCCCAGGTGTTGGAGCGCTTTTCAGTCGGGACCTAGTACATTTTGTAGACCTTAGTAAGCTATGTTTACTATAAAAAAGGTTCGTGCCCATGACCTATTTCTAAGGAGATCGAACGTTTTTAGTTTTATAGTTGGATATTTCCAGTGTATCTCAACCGCGTTGTACACAAATGATCTCCGATTTTGATGAAGTTTTCAGCGTTTGTAGAGCTTTTAATTCTGAGCATTTTGATAAAAAAAACATTTTCAAAACGCTTTTGTTTTGATGGAGATACATTCAAAATACTGTAAATAATAAAAACTCAAAAACGCTCAAGAAAAATTTTTCTCACAGTTTTTGGGTTTTTATTACTTATAGTATTTTGAATGTATCTCCATCAAAACAAAAGCGTTTTGAAAATGTTTTTTTATCAAAATGCTCAGAATTAAAAGCTCTACAAACGCTGAAAACTTCATCAAAATCGGAGATCATTTGTGTACAACGCGGTTGAGATACACTGGAAATATCCAACTATAAAACTAAAAACGTCCGATCTACTTAGAAATAGGTCATGGGCACGAACCCTTTTTATAGTAAACATAGCTCACTAAGGTCTACAAAATGTACTAAGTCCCGACTGAAAAGCGCTCCAACACCTGAGAATGTTCCCTCGTAAGTGTTGGATGCTCGTGCTTTTAATATTGGGCTTTGCACCAATTCGAGTTTTCAGAATGGAAATTGAGTTAACCTGACGTATGTGATATGTTCTCCCTTGATCAACTGTTTTATAACTGGGTTTTCATGGGTGAGACTTGTTATTAATGATGGCTTGAGATCTACTGAGAAAGACTATTGTAATATATTCATTATTAGATCGATCTTTACAAAATGTTGTAAAAACAAAAACTGAATTTTTAAAATTACTGGTATCTACGTGGAAGATTTCTACTTCATATTGGAAAGAATCTAAAAAAACATGGAGTATGGAGAGACTATTACAATTTTACTTGAAACCGTTAATATACTCGTCGTCATGTTTATGTTTAGCGATCGATAACAAGACAACTATCTGTGTTCATTAAGTCCATCTAAATATGATCATGAAAAGGTGAAAGTAGAGGACAGAGGCAATTCAAGTATTATATAATTAATTTTTGATCATTTTGACTCTTTTTGTCGCTGGATTAAGTAATCAATACAATATTTTTTCTTAATGCATGATTTTGTTTCTTACTATGTACTTAAATACAAATTAAGTTTCAAGAGTATATTTATTTTCTCATATTAATACCAGTTTTACAATTAAATAATCGAAATAAAACGCAAATATTTATTAAGTAAAGATAAATCACAAATTAGCAATAGCTGAATAGTTGTTTTTATTGTACGTTTGTCATATGCCATTATTGCACTATAACCAAAAGATTTCGAAAGATTATGTCATCTTTGAGCGACCTCTATGTCTTCACGTGATCAAATGTTACTATTGACCAACTTTTATCTCCATTAAGTTTGTTCGACGTGGTAATACTTAAGCAGTCTCAAACATAATGGGATAATATTTGAAGTGATCGAAACATAACATCACCAAATGATCATCATCATGAACCAAAAGACGACGAAAAATTATAGACTAAAAAATGCAAGATCGGGATAGAATCAACTTCATCGATGAAAAGATCGAACGAAAAAATATACACTAAACAATAAAACAACTAGATATCGTTATTATAAATAAGATTCTCAAAAAAAGAGATTGCTAAACAATAATCAAATTTTATATCGATTAGACTGTCGTGAAGTATAAATTGGAGTGCAATTGTTGCAGCCGGTTATTTGATCGCTTGACTCGCAACTATTACAATCCATACCTTGACGTATGCGATACAATTATGTACAATATGTGCCTTAATGTCTGATTTTCTGATATATGTTATATCCAACTTGTTCAACTTCATCATCTCATTATTTACTAAAAGTAGTTTGTCATTAAGAGCAGTCATCCTATTCCGCGATCATGCACATTGCGGAATCAATTCCGCCCCAGGAATCCATTCTAACAGTTTCTAGGAATTCCGGAATCGATTCCAGCAAATACAAGCAACTCGTCACAGCTCCGTCTAATTCCGAAATCGAATGAAATCGGAATCGGTAGGAATTACTAAGAATTCCTAGGAATTCCGGAATTGCTATCTCTAGTATTATTCTATCATTTCTTATCGATCTAACAATGATCCAATTCCGGAACGGAATTCCGAAACTGAATGAAACCCGAGGCGCTAGGAAGTACTAGGAATTGCAAGCAATTCCCAGAAATTCCGGAATTCCTATATCTAGCATTATTCTAACATCTCTTATGAATCTAATGACGATC